AAGTAGGTCACCTGACCTAAACCCCCTCAATTACCCGGTTCGGGCGGAGCTCAATAGGGTGGTCTACAGTGGCGGAGAAATCAACGATCTCGCTGAACTCAGGTACCCACTCACGGTCGCGTGGCAGAATCTCTCGATGGCGCTCCTCCAGAAGGCTGTGGCGGAGTATCATGATAGTATTTAATATGCTCTTTAATATGGTGGTAGAAATGTCCGATCAGAATTTGATAAAGTGTAACTTATAGCGCCTCGAAAGTCAAGGAAGAAAAAAGACTTTTTTTGGCTATCCCCCTGTATACCTGACAACCGGTACGCGTACCCTTGAATGACGTGGGCAGGATCGCACGCCTAGAGTTAGATAAGCACTAAGATTGAGGCGGTGGTAGGTATTCTTTAGCCTCGAGGTTAAACCATAGTATCCGAGAAGTTACATTCAGTCATACTAGGTGAGAATATGGAGATCGCGAGAAGGTTACAACTACGTACAAGAAGGAGTCGACACATTAGCAACAATGCCTTCCCCAGGAGGAACTTTCTCCTGATCACGAGGGTCTCCTTCTACTCACGAAAACTCAAGAAAGAAGCGTTTCCGCTGCGCCTGAACTGACGTCTGTGCAAGAGGTGTTAGGGCATGATGCTAAACTGTTGGAATGGCTCGATTGTTTCAATCTATTTGGTGATTGTTTTGAAAGAAATAAAGTTTTTCCCTTTAAGCCAAGGATGATGTACTTGGTAGGACTGCAATGCCACCAATGTGTCAACGCTCAGATGGTGCTATGTTCGCCGATAGGATAAGTGATTGAGTAGCAAAACAATAATAACTAGATTCGTGATACGTGAGAGATGGATCCCGAGTTAATTAGCATAGCTGGCGACATGATGTCATAAGCATTACATACAACGAGCTCCCGTGCCACCACTTTTCTAAAAAAACGGTTACAGCGACGAATATCGTAGAGGGCAGAGCGTGCTCTGTAGGTGGCACTGTGTTGCTGCTGTCCAGGGCTTGAACGAGTGCTATGAACGGGTCCTGGGTCACAAACTTCCGCAGCAGTACGCGGCACTCGTTCGTCCAAGAATCGAATGCGAAGATGATCACTTGGGGAACCCCATTGACTTCCAGGTAGACGTATTCCTGGACAGTGTCCATCGCCTTTTTCTTATGAACTGCCGAGGAGTACTTCTTATTTCCTTTGCATAAGCGATGACTGATACTGTTTCCACAGCCCCTTGTGATTTTCCATACCCTGCACCATCTTACCTGAATCTGGAGAGATTCCTGTGTGAGTCCCAATAGACTTGATGCTCATTCAGCAGATCCTGCCGCCACAAAATACACGAGTCCGGCACGTACCAACCGTATCAAGGAGAATGTTATGCGAGCAAGTCCTGATGAATGATGGGATTCGCATATAACTCTACCTACCATCGCCACAACTAGTTGTGTTTATGTTACCTAAGATTATCGCCTGCTGTGATCTTAGCGTTCAGACGGTCCAAGTACTCATTGCTAATTTGCTCTGTCTCTTTCACCAACTGGTCCACTGCCTCTTTGCGGAGAAGGAAACTAAAATTTGTAGTTTTTTTCAGTACATGTTGTTACAATTAGAAAGACTCCAATGAAGGCATACTTTCCAATAAGAGCGTCCTCAACGTTAGTTGTACACTGCGCGATGCGAAACTGAAGATGTCTATGCATACTCTCGAACGAACTCGCTGACCAGTGATAAGGCGTCCCTATGTCATACAGGTCCTCTAGGATCGCGTGGTCGACGAGACACTGGAGATTCGATACATTTTGAAGGTCCATAACTGTCACACTCCCATATATTACATCTATCAAACCTACATCCAAAGACCTTTCTACATTATGAGGAACACAACGACACTCACGTGGACCTTCATTGTGCACAAAGTCGGCTCGATCGCGTACCACAAATCTTCATAGCGCTAGCCAATTCCTGCACTCCTGGGAAATCATGCACCGTCAGCTCTGCGCTCTTTTCCAAGACGCGCACCGGATCCAGTATGCGACATTTCGATCTGCACAAATATTCAGAGCGGCCGCAAGGGGAAATGCAAACGAAGGAAAGCTAAAATATGTAGCTGTGCGAAGCCATGAAAACTTAACTATAGACTGCTATGTTTCTACTTACAGCGTCCTTCTCAGACCCAGTGATGCCTGATAAGTCGTCCATTCCCAAAACGAATTTGGCCGCGTATGTGAAGTTGCGAGTTGCGGTGATGAAGCTATAGAACTCCTGCAGACACTCAGAACGAACTTTCATTGCCGGAACGTGACTTTTCGGGGAGAACATGGCTAAACTGATTGCTTTAAAGCCCCATGGAAAACGAAAGAGGAGAGTTAAGCGGGAACCTCGGAAAACGTCGCACGTTATTCCTTCTGAGACCACAGTGCATCTGGTACGGTGATGAACCATTAGAATCTCCTTCATCTGCGTCGAACCTGTGCGAGACGACCCGTACGTGTGACTCGAAGCAATGGTTGAAGGCACGGGTCGCTCACCTCCCATTAGCGTTTGACATTGCATCCCGAGTTATTGAGGCAAATGTGCGACGATCTCCTGCATAAGGGAACCTGGGGAACCAAATCACTCGATGACCCCTTCTTTCACCCTCGAAAGTGCACAGATGGCAACCGTTCTGTGACTGCCAGCGGGGTAAGTCGTATAGTGTTTTTAAGGCCTAAAACTGTATGTCATACAAGAAAATTCCTCTCCTGTGGTCGCAACTGCTGAACTCACACTGAAGTCAATGACGCCTTTGGGCAGTACAGGGGTGCAGAACTAGGTGCGATCTAGCGCAATAGGAATTCCGCTGTGTAGCACCCCCAGTATGCCACGAAGTCTAAAGGGTGACAGTTCAACCTAGCAAATGCATGCATCCGGAAGGAAGTCATACACTGATCGAGAAAACATTTCTCGCAGCAGAGTTTCTGTGAGGGTCTTTTTTGACATTGTGATGCCAGTCGATTGTGATGCTTTCGACCTTGTTTTCCGTGAACGGCAGACCTTCAATGCGAAGGTAGATAGGCCAGGTTTGCGACCTGAGTTAGTGAAAACAAGATGAGCAAGCAGAAACGGCCAAAGCACTAATGTTAAGCACAGACCGTGAGTGTTTTCCCTTTGACGCCGTTGAAATTAATAGTCAAGATGATATTGATCTTGCATTCGTCAAAGTCCGTGTGCGTTTCGATGAATCGCTTGTACCATGGGAATGAATAGGTTTCGCTCCGCTTGCCACTGTCATCCTAGAATGGATTGAGGGGCCTATCGCGGTACATTGAAAAATCAACTTCGTACTTAACGTGAAGTGATACACTAAAGCTTACCCCGGACATGAATTTGTCTGTGAGTTTGAATTCAGGCGACTAGAGGACTCTTCCAAGTATTAGTGACAGTTGCGGCTCGATTTGCAGGAAGTGAATAGTAGTTCGCTTCGATGCTTTGCACCGCTTCGGAGTAACGCTACAATGAAGCCAGCTGAAGGGTTACGAGTACTACAAGGGAATGTGAGAACGGACCCTAGAAGGGGACATTCGGTGTTCCTACACGCTGCCCTCGGACAAATTAGGCGTGAGTCGCAAGAGTTGCAGTGAAAAGACTTGGAATGGCCGTAACGTCTAACGCCTCGTGCATCCAGTATCGAACCTTCAACAAATTTATGTTAATGTTTATCATTATTGTTAACGATTGTGTTTCCTTTTGTTATTTCTTGTTTCTTTTGTTATTGTTAGTCATCAGTTGTTATCATCAAACGGGGAAAAACAACAAGAAAAGCATTGACTGCATTTATCCCTTGAAAAATATTTCGAAATGAAGCGTAAAAACCACCAAAATTCACTTATTGTCAGTGACTCTCTAATTTGTGAAAAGAGCTGCCCCAATATCAGAAAAGTCAACACTGTGTATCCCACTAGTCAGCCTGCTCAAAGAAGAATCGAAACTGAAACTATCTATTATCATACTGGCATTTACGTCTGTCTCCTAAATCTCGTCCTCATTGGCCAAATCTGCGACAGGTTACAGAGTAAGAAGGCGAGGACTG